ATTAAGACTGACTTTAAACACCCCTGATTTAGATCAATATATATACATGTATTAAGATGATCCACATAAAAAATAAACCTAAATCTAAACTAAATTTGAGGTAAAACTCGAAAATTAAAGCATTTCTGGAAATGATTTTTCATTTTCAAATTTTACATTTCAAATTGAATTTTGGTATGTATTTGCTGGGGTAAATTTTGAAAAATAAATCTCAAATGTCTTTTTTTTCTTTTAAGTAAAAGGATGAGCAGTTTTGAAGAAGAAAATTAAAATGCAAATATGATTATAGATTACTAATTTCATTTATGAGCCAAATAATGCAGCCACATTCTTAAAATGAAAAAGCATTTCTGGAAATGCTTTTTCATTTTCAAATTTTATATTTCAAATTGAATTTTGGTATCTGTCTGCTGGGGTACATTTTGAAAAATAAATCTCAACTGTCTTTTTTTTTTTTTTTTTTTAATTAAGTAAAAAGGTGAACAGTTTTGAAGAAGAAAATGAAAATGCAAATATGATGATTGCTTACTAATTTCATTTATGAGCCAAATAATGCAGCCACATTCTTAAAATGAAAAAGCATTTCTGGGATTGCTTTTTCGTTTTCAAATTTTACATTTCAAATTGAATTTTGGTATGTATTTGCTGGGGTACATTTTGAAAAATAAATCTCAAATGTCTTTTTTTTTTTTCATTTTAATTAAATAAAAGGATGAGCAGCGTTAAAGAATAAAATGAAAATGCAAACAGGATTACTGATTACTTATTTTATTTATGAGTCAAACAATGCAGCCACATTCTTAAAATTAAAAAGCATTTCTGGAAATGCTTTTTAATTTTAAATATGGTAACGATTTGCTTCCATAAAATTTCACCCTCTGTTTCATCATGAAAGACGTCTCAGTTAGGTTTGTTCTTTCAGGAGATCAATAACCTTTAAAAACTATCCAAACGACATAAAGCTTCACATTTGTTCTATCGCAATAAAATCCCCCAAATAAAATGACTTTGTCATCAAACTTTTGCAAAGCAGTGTGTCTTGACTCGCTTTTTCTAACATTTTTAAACGATCGTATGGAGTGTTTTTTGTACGTCGGTCATATTTGTGAACAATATGTCTGCTTTTAACCAGCTCTTGCGTTTTATCCCCATGTAAAGAGGTGGTAAGTGAAGCGCCCGTCTCAGAGCAAAATGCAAGCATTGTGTATGAACCAGAGCCGCCTTTAAAAGTACTTCACAGTGAAGTAATAGCAATTTGGTTATTTTACAGAAATGCTGATAGGATTGGACAGCAGCTTGAAGGCTAACACCAAGGAGCTGTTCACTCTGGAGACTCAGATGTAGTTCTTCTTCCTCTATTCATTCAGTTTCATTCCCATATGTCTTTATTTGCAGATTCCATGTATGAATTATCTAGCCTATATAAACACCTCTGCTTCAACTGTCTCATTTTGATTTGTGTAGTGTTGTTTGTAGAACAATGATCCTCTTCTTCCAAATTTTCTGAAAATGTCAATTTCTTAAAATTCACAGCTGCCCAAAGTCCAAACGGCATAATGGTGGTAAAGAATTGACCAGGAAAAATACAGAAATCTGTTAACAGGCCACGTATGCCATTTAATTCCTTTTTTCTTCTGATATTTTCTATATACTTTTCTGTCTGTAGGAATAGAAGTTACAGCACATTTTAGAAATGCATGGTAATCACTAGCCTATTGCTGTGAGGATTGAGCCAACATGTGGTGCTCTAGTGGTTAAGATTTATTAAAACACCTTGAGATGATTTCAAGAATACTTTAGACTGCATGTATTTGTTCTTGTTTGTTTTTTTATTTTCAAGAAGTCAGCATTAAGTCATGAATTGCTAACATATTTCACTGTAAGACAGAGTAAAGGAGCTAAAGTTCATTGTGTTTTGCGTGGTTCCTTTTACTGTGAGAATTTTATTTCTAAAATCTGCTGATCTTATGTTTTTTTTTCTCACGTTTTCCTTCAGAGATGCTCGTGTCGTGAAGGACATTACAACTGGCAAATCAAAAGGGTATGGATTTGTGTCCTTCTACAACAAGCTGGTAAGGCTTCAGTGCAGGAACACAGACTGAAGGTTATGTCTTTCTTTTATTATTCTCTTTAATTGCTTTCACATTAATTTGATCAGTTGAAATTACAGACAGTTATAGTTGCACAGCACAGTTTCTTCATTGCCGCTGCCAGTTTAAGTTTTGAAGCATTGGGGACTATGGTGTCTTTTTTTCTGAAGAGTGGTACTGTTCCTTTGTCTGGATTACAGGATGCAGAAAACGCCATCTCACACATGGCGGGACAGTGGCTGGGAGGGCGCCAGATCAGAACAAACTGGGCAACACGTAAACCGCCAGCTCCCAAAAGTGCTCAGGACAGTAAGTATTAATGGCTAATCAACCCTTTTAAATTACTGTATACAAAAAGATGAGTTTCTAACTGTGCAAACTGGAAGATTTCTGATCAGTGCAATACAGCATTAACTATATATCATCCATAACCAGGTAATCTGTTTAATGTAAGTTTTTTTATTTTATTTAATAGATTATAGGTTAAACACCAAATAAATTCACTCAAAAGTAAAAAAAAAAATAATATGCACAGCTCAGAATTGTCTTTTATTTGCATTGATTTTTATCTTACATTTTTTTTGCTGCCATAGTGCTTTGGTTTTCACCAATAAAACCATAACCAAAGAGTCTATCACAGCAATTCCAAAAATGTAAAAAAAAAACAATCCACTAGCCTTTTTCAACCTCCAGCAGCTGCTGCGTTTGCAGCCCGTCAGATGCTCAGAAGTGCGTGACGCGCTGCTCCTGCTGCTCAAAACGCGCTGCGGGACGTCTGGCTGCGTGTTGATGCGCTTCAACCATTTACTTAGCGTCTAAACTAGCTGCTTCTGCTGCCTCTGCTGCTTTAGGTGTAAACGTTGCATAAAACAGCTTCTACAAGTATAAATTTATTTATTTATTTACGTGTTTATTTGAACAGGGACAGTGCACATTAATAAACATTTCTGTAAATGAGCCAGTGTTAGCTAAGTAGCTAATTTTCAACTGTAGTCCCTGGGAAAGGTTTAAAATGCCAACATAATAAAACAACAATATTTAAAATTAATGCAAACAATAAAATACATAGTTAGTAATCTACATAAAAGTTGGACATTGATCTGTAAAAAACAAAGACATTATTACAAATATAAGATTTAAAAAGCATTGACAAAAGTGCATCAGACAAATGTATATTGGAGTTATAGGTTTGATGTTTATATAGGGGTTAAAATTAACCCTATGCCAAATTATAGTAATGTTTATAAATGTTAATAAAAATAAAAATTCGTTGAGCCAGGTCATTTAAAACGCGTAACTTTTATGATCTTAAAACAACTCAATATCTTTATCATATAGTGGTACCCAGTCGCTCTATCTGGATTAAATACTTTCTGTGTGACAAAAACTCAGTTTTATGCAATAATCCTGTTTTGAGTTGCAGCGGTATAAATATGCTATCAAAAATTGTTGTGCCAGTTCATAGTTAAAAAGAACTCAGTTCACACAGATGAAAATGAACTAGCTCCCATTCATAGTTCACTTTTTCAAAAAGTTCACAAACCTATAAATGAACTAGTGCAAGTTCATTTGGGAAATGAAGCCACAATAGAATGATTCACACTTTTAATGTGTGATCATAATATATTGAGAAAAAAAACCCGGAAAATACTGGATGTGGAGTGAAGCCTTTATTTAGAAAAATTAAGCCAGAACTTCAGAAACATACAGGAAAGATCTGGATCATAAAATCATTCAGATTGTCCACTTAGCCATACTTACTGCGCACCACAGCCTAAAGCTTTATATTTTGGACGTGGCTGACGTACAGACTTGTTTAAATCCTGGTGGGCACAGTTTGCACAAAAATATGAGTATTTTTGTCCGAGTCCTCTTTGTTAGTTCTTTAAACTCTGCCAAGCGCTCTGCTAAACTGGAATCAGAAATACCAGGAGATGAGTATGAATGGAGCAGACTTGTTCTAGCTTAGACATGCTGATCTGTCAGGTTGTTTAATATATGTCCAGTAAAACCTGACGTTATCAAATGAAATGTGTCGCTATCAATTGAACGCCAGTGTAAGCTGCCTGTGTCACTCATTATTCTCAGAGTGAACGTTGCTTACGTTCATTACACTGCAAAACGGATCTAGAAAGAAGTAAAAAAGTTAGTTAAATCTGATTATTTGCCAATGGAATGAGTATTTTTACTCTTCAATTAAGAAAATTAGACAAGATTCACTTGAAATAAGACAATAAAATAGTTTTTTCTTATTTTAAATGTAAATTGTTTTGTTCCATTGGCAAAGTGTCTCACTTACCTCCTCTATTCAAGAAAAAATGCATTTACCGTAAATTCTCTAATATAGGCCCGGGCCTTTATTTCACTCAAGTGCATCGCGGTCCAGGCCTTTATTGGATAGAGGCCATTATTAGAGACCCGGCCGCTATTGGAATACAGGCCAATATTAGAGAATTTACGGTATTTAAAGAAAAGAAAATTACTTATTGAGATTTCATTTCTATGCAGTGTACTTTAAAACTGATCCGTTCAGTTCACCGTTCACTAAAAATAGGAACTCGTTTAGGCACAACACTGCTGAAAAACAAATTACTTTTGCTTAATTGAAAGTTAATGGAAAATAAAGGTTTTCATGAGGTTTAAACTGGAACGTGACTGAAACAAAATGCAGTGAATAACTGACCAAAAACGATCCATTAACCATCTTCCATCACAAAAGTATAAAATTTCTACTTTTAACCATGGCTGTTTAATTCAGTTTGGTCCTGATTCCCTGAGGAAGATGAATTATGAGTATTAAAACCAGGAATCCGCTTATAAAATTATTTGTTTTGTTTGTTTTTGTCTCAGACGGTTCGAAGCAGCTGAGGTTCGATGACGTCGTGAACCAGTCGAGTCCTCAGAACTGCACGGTGTACTGCGGTGGGATCCAGGCAGGACTCACAGGCAAGTATCAGATTCTTAAGCAGCCACTCTGTCATCGCTGTATAATTATAGACGTCTCAGCTATTTATGACATCCAGAAATCAGAATAACATTGTGTTTTTTTTCTTTGCTATGATTCTTTTAGAACATCTGATACGACAGACGTTTTCACCGTTTGGTCAAATCATGGAGGTCAGAGTTTTCCCAGAAAAAGGCTATTCTTTCATCAGGTAACGTCAGATTCCATGACACCGTTTAGCCTCTAGATGTCAGCAGCAGCACAGCAGAGAATTGCTGAACTATTATTTTCTCATGGGCTGTGTCTCCATTCACTCTCTGCTTTTTCTCATGCGTTTTGTTTTGAAGGTTCTCCTCCCATGACAGCGCTGCACACGCCATCGTTTCTGTAAATGGCACGGCCATCGAGGGACAAATGGTGAAGTGCTACTGGGGCAAAGAGTCCTCTGACATGGCAAAAAACCCACAGCAGGTATGTCAAGATGTTCTTGGCTGGTTGAAGGTTTGTTTTACAAAATGTGGGGGAAAAAGGGCTAAATATGACGGTGACTATAACAGAGATCCACAGCTCATTTATCCACAGGTTAACCCCCAGATTCCACTCCGTCAGCGCTCCGCTCCGCCCTGCTTACGTACGCCGTGAAGAGTACTTGTCTGTCATGTTGATCAATGAGAACTGTTCCACATCGACCGCTAATCATCTGCACGTTCCCGTCCATGTACGTCCATGCTCTGCTCCGCTCCGGCCAGGTCAAGATCGTTGAAGATCCCGTTTGTTAAATTAAAATATATGCTGATGAAGGTTCTCAGTCATCCAGGTCATAGTCATTCCGTAAAAATTCAAAAAATATCCACTGGACTTGGTTTCCAAGGTTTGAAGACGTTTCGCCACCTCTCCAGGAAGCTTTCTCAATTCAAATGTCTGGATCCGCAGTGAGTTTGAGTCTAAAATATAGTAACAATGGATTGGTAACTACAGATTGTTGCTTAATTCTTAGAAATTCCCAAAAACTACATTTAATTAAATGATTGGATACAAACTATTGTTATATTACCTGAACATACCAGGAAACGGATTTCTCATCTAAATCAATATATTTATTTTATACCGAGAGGCTTAAAAGTTTAACCGAATCCAGTCAAAAGAAATTCCTTATTGCAGGCTGGATGAAGAGATGCTGAGTTTGGAAGTAGAGAACAAACATAGTTCATTAAAAAAAAAACAATTTTTGATGATCCTAGTTTTCCCCGTTTCAAAAATCCACAACAAAAATAAAATATTTGGGGCAGAAACTGCACATATTCTGATGGGGAATATTTTACTATATCATATTAAATTAATCGTATTTTTCTGCATCTTTTGCTCCTATGAATTTAATTTAATATCGCGCATGCTCTTCTCAAACTCCGAGGAAGTCAGAGCGGAGCAAGACGGGAGGAACAGCGGAGGCTGGAGGCTTTGCTTTGCGAAGGTGGTCTGCAGCGCAGCGGGGCGGTTACGGAGTATGTGGAATCTGGGGATAACTGTTAGCTGTTAACTCTATAATTTGGCCCTTTTTGAAAGAGTGACAAGAAGAAAATTACACTTGAATACAAGCTAAACATCATCGTCATCAGAGTTAAAGGGAAGATGACTTGATCACGTCCCGTCTGTACTTATCTGATTGGTTCTAACCTGACTTCTAACTTAACTTCTAATCTGACTGTTAGCGCTGAGATAACTTTGTGACTTTTTTTTTAAAGCCAGCTTCCAAGTCATTAAAATCAGAGTCAAGTTTATTCCCAGTAGGTTTGCACTTAAAAGGAATTTGACTTTGTGTTGATGGTGCAGATAAATTAGATGTATATACAGAATACAGGATCTCTAGTTATATACAATATAAAACATACAAAATACTATATACAATATATAGTATACAGCTACATACTATATACATGGGAAGAAAGCATTATTTTCTCATCTTCATGTTGTATTAGTTTTGATTCTTGTTTAATGTGAAGATGCGGTCTAAGGATGAATGACATCAAGCGTTTCTTTCCCCCTTTTCCTCCCCATGTCGGGCAGGTTGATTACGGTCAGTGGAGCCAGTGGAACCAGGTCTACGGAGACCCACAGCAGCAGTATGGTCAGTACATGGGCAACGGCTGGCAGGTTCCTTCTTACAACATGTACGGACAAACATGGAACCAACAAGGATACGGAGTAGAGTGAGTCTTCTGTCAAAAAATCTCATTTACTTTTCTCTGGTTAAAAATAGTTGCTAGTGTGACCACCACAATTTATAAAAAACAAAAAAATGAATCCTTTCAAACCGTTTATTTCATAAATGATCAACCATGAGTTTAGTGATGATTATGGTATATATGTTTGCTATTTCAATTTATGAAACATCGGGAAAACAAACAAGCAAAAAATAAATATTAAGGTATTGTAGATTTTTTTAAGCTTTATTTTCCTGTTTGATTGTGGAAAAAATAATGTTTTAAAAATGATAAATCTTTACATTGAGTCTTATAAAAAAGGACTTAAATATACAACCAGAAAAAGCTGTTTCGGAGAAACAGCAAAGTGGGAATGCGTTTTTCTGCCGAATGGAAAAAAGAAGAACTAGAATAAAGGAAAAAACAGAAATTAGGTGAAGAACATTTGAAAATGTGATAGGAAGTAGGGATGGAACGGTTTATGAAAACCGTCCGAACCGTTTGGTTCGACTGTCTCGGTTCGGTTCATGCGCTGCTCCTTTTTCTCATAGGCGAAGCGTTTACACTCCAGAGCAGAACGTGGTGGTACTCCGACCAAAGCCAACCACCAGTAGTAAACAAGAAGAAGAAGAAGCGAAGCCGCTTAGCCGGGTGTAGCAGGAGAATAAAATTAGTTGTTGTGGAGAATTGTGTGGGTATGGCGAGTGGGAAAGAACAGGAGTTGGAAGACGCGCCAGCAGCACTTTATAGGTCTGCTGTATGGGACCGCTTTGCATTTAGAGTGACCTACGATGACGGCGGAAAGAAAGTTGTGGATAAAAGTGCAACAGTGTGCAAGCATTGTGCAACACGTTTTGTTTATGCTAACAGCAACATGACCAACATGTCATGCTAACCCCGAAATCCTACATACTCTGTCAGCGCTCCGCTCCGCTACAGCCTCCGCTGTGGCTCCCGTCCGCTCCGCTCTGAGTTCCTTGGAGATCATAGAGGGCATGCGCGAGATGATTAAATTCAAAGCAGCAAAACATGCGGAAATTATCCATGGTTTCTGCGAATCATTAAAAATAATTACAATTCATTAATTTTTTTGGATTTTTTTCATTAATTTAATAAAAAAAAAATTTTCATTAATTTTTATTTATTTTTTTTTTTTTCGGTGTAACAATCAACATATACCAAACCCAACCGAAAACCGTGACCACGAAACTGTGAACCAAACCGAACCGTGGATTTTGTGAATCGTTCCACCCCTAATAGGAAGTAATCAGAAACTTAAAAATGCAGAAAACAATTGAATCAGCTGAAGTTTTGTAGGGTAGAATCATTTGGCAGAATAATGGCAAAAAACAGACTCCTCTTTAAAGCAGAACATTTCGTCAGATTTGATTAACCAAAAGAAAAAGTCCAAAAGCATCCGTTTACCTTGAAGTTGACAGAAGTTGAACTGAAAATATTCTTTAAAAGACAAAGTCCTTTGTAGAAGGAAAGAGCAAAATTTGCAGAATGCAAAGAATGTGAAAACTGCTGTGTTGATCTATGATTAATACATCCAAAACTAAAAGATACCGAAACATCACAAGAATCAGCAGTTGTCGGTAAATAACAGTGCCAAGTTTTATGTTTCCTCATAGGGACATGGCCTAAAAAGGGCAGGCAGAAATAAATAGCGGTGAAGAAATAACAAGTGTAAAAAAATACAAAGGAAGAATAAAACAGCCAAAAATATTATAACATGCAGATAAATAAATACTTAAAAATATAAGTAATTACAAAATAAAGTTGAAGATTATAAAGGACAAAAAAATAAATAAGGTAAATATTTCAAAGGCAAATAAATAAAGAAGCAAATTAAAAGAGTTATATACATTTATGTCTCACTGTATAATTTAATTTCAACTTACATTTATTTGTTTATTGTATTTTTGGTGGTAATTCATTGTTTGCTTATTTGTGTATTGAGGATTTATTTATTTCTGTATTTATTTTTAAATATGGCAGAGTTGGTCCTCCATAGTGGCCATGGTGACGATATAAAAAAGAGAATTTTGAAAGATTTGTGTTTGAAAATGTGCTGTTTTGAGGCCCCCGAATGAAATAGCGGCTTTGACGAACCATAAATGATATTTGTTTTGTTTCTACACAAAAGGATGTTTCCATGGTAACAATGTAAAAAAAAAAAAAGGGGGGGAAATTTTGAAAGCTGCATATTTAGCTTACCTTCCCTGGAAATGCCTTTCCAAATTTGTCATTTTATTTTTTATTACTTATTACAAAGCAAAAATGCAGGCAATCCTTCCGCATTGATAATGGAAGCAAATGATTCAGTCCATTCTTTGAATCCTTTTTTCTCATTAGCCATCTTCCTTTTTTTCCCTTTGGGATCCATGGTCCGAAACACACCGGCCGCTTTGTTTGCCTGGCACCGCGCCGCGCTGGTTGCAAGTTATGACCACTGATCTCTATGGCTATGACGCAAATTATTGTTTAAATATATTTATTATTCAGACTTTTACAGCATTGGAAAACATAACTGATTTTTGTTTGACCTCCTGCACACCACATTAAAACAAATGGAAAAAATAGATTTTCATACATTTTTGAAAAAGCTCCAGGGAGCCGCAAGGTGGGGGCGCTAGACCTCCGATCTAGACCAACATATGGGTGTGGCTTTAAAATCACTTTATAAGTTTATTATTGCTTGTTTTGTTTAAAAAAAAAAATAGCAGACCTTTGAGTTCACACAATAATTTGGAGAAAAATTCAAACTTTTACTGATTCCTTTAATCCCTGACTCCTTTGAAGAACAAAGCTGATTTTCTTGACTGGGACTGCTTTGTTTCTGTACTGAAACTTTACAGTTTAACTTAAATAAACTTCTATTTTGAAGGAAACTTGCTCACCAAATCTAAAAAAACATAACTCCAACTTGAGTTATTTATTTTAGGAACCTAAATTTACATAGGCTTTACATTTAAACCACCTAAAAGAGCACAACTTGGTTAAACTTGAAGAAACCCTGTTTGAAAAAATACCCACTGGTGTGATGTAAAACTGCTTTAAATGTTTAATTTCTGTTTGAGACATGAAATAAGAAGTTAATGAGTCCAGTTTACAGTGCGGCTTATCCCTGAGTAACTGGGTTTCTGTCAACCTTTTGCAGGCAGTCGCAGTCATCAGCCTGGATGGGCGGATATGCCTCCGCACCGACGCCTCCCGATGCCGCCATGTCCAACGTTGGAAATTATAACATGGCCGGCTATCAGATGCAGTGAGATGGATCCGACCTAAACGGAGCGCCAAGGGAATATATACGGCACTTTTCATCTGAACAGGAGAAACCAATACAGCCTTTGTGGCTCAGAGTCGGTCCCTTTCAAACCCCCGACCCACAACTGGTTTATATTGTTTTAAAAACCTATATGGCAATGAAAAACTATTTTTTTGGATTATAAGAGAACGCCAAAGAAACTAACCTGGCCCAAATCCTGAAAAGATAAACCAAAGTATTTGGATCCTTGAATCTTAGTCGTTACCTTTGGAGGAAATCTGCTAATGTCTGAGTTTTCCAAACAGAAACACAGACAACAAAAACAAAATTGTTTTTCAAAATTTATAACTATTTTTTTCCAAAAGAGCCTCCAAATTATTCAGCAGCTCACAGGAATCTGATAAGGATGAAAACCTAAACCTGAATTATTCTTCCACTTTGGAAGAGTTTTAAAAAAATATATTTGAATTAAAATTTACCAATAGTTCTGTGATATATATATATAATTTTTTTCTTTAAAGACAGGATAAACTTTCATATTAGTTTTCATCTTTAAGGTTAGTGTCTGAATGCTTTGTATAAATGAGTTTATAGGTAGACCAGCACTGAGCTTTGAGGAGAAATCAGCTCCATGTTGGTCTACAGCTTTAGCCTATAAAATGTCAAATTTAAATTGGATTTTTTTCCTCTAAATAAAGTTTGTATAAAAAGAGATTCTTAAAAAGCCACCTTGAAGAATTTTTTTTCTATAATGAGATGCATGTCACAGACAGTGACAGGTTTATTTTCAGAGGATGCTGCTGCCAAGTTTTGAATTTCTGGAGTTAAATCTGAAAATAAAAGGCTTTATCTTTTTATAGTTCCTGTAAAAACATTAAAATGGGTGAAAGTAACTTTAAAAGTTGGTGAGAGGATTTTTTTAGATTTTATTTTAAATGGTTTAAAGCACTTCTTTCTTTTCTCGGCTCCTTTACAGGTCTTCATTTCTGGTTGGTAACAGGATTTATTAAACTTCTTTTTTTAATCCTCTCCACCTTGGGTAACTTGTTCTGATTTAAGACATTTCTTATATCAGAATATTTTTTTTGTATCCTGCTGTTTGGGTTTTATTTGTCTGTGTGATGTGTCAGAATTTAAAGGGCATGAATCAGCATTTTGTTAAGTTTTTCTTTTAACTCGTTTTTAGATTTCTACCTCCAGATTGATTATGACTTCCATGTTAAAAATTAAAGAAGACACAAACAAGCAAGAGCGCATTCAAGAGTTGCTAAAACATGTTAAAAAAGTACATTTCATCCAGGAAAAATTTAACACTGGTTAATCTGAATTTAAAACTTTAAAGTGAAAATTTTAATGGATTTTTTAGCTAGGTCTACCTAACCAACAGGCACCCTACTTTAGGATTTAAAAGCTCTGTGCGGTCAGGCCGGTCTGTCGGTTTGTACATAACGATCTTAAAGATTCTTGTTACAAAAATCCCCAAATTAATTATGAAAGGAATTAAATTATGAAAACCTCTGGGTCTCTGAGCAAGACCCTTAACCCCACACGACTCCTGGGCGCCCCATGATGGCAGCCCACTGCTCCCTAAGGGGATGGGTAATATGAGATCAATAAAGATCAATTATAATTTAGATAAAACCGTCATTTCAGCTCCTGCTCTGACAGGCATTGATAGGTACATGTTAAATATCCGAGCCATACAGTTATATGCTAGTCTCACGTTTATAAATTATCATACATAAATTATCCATCTTCCAATGATGACAGTAAAATTCATTACAGTAATGTATTTTTGTAAATAAAACAAATATTCCGGGTTGGATGGCTACTGAAGCTAATTATCAGGGTTAAACATCAATGGGTAACAGTTTAGTTTTGTAAAACCAGAGGATAGATAATAAGAAAAAATTAAGAATTATTTGATCAAACTTTATGCCTACAAGCAGCCGTGGCTGCCTTGGTCTGGCTGTTAACTCCCTGCTCAAGGGAGAGTGTCAGCTTCAGTTAGGTTTATGTTTTATACATTTAATTCAGTTTGAAACAGCTGATAAACCAGCTTTTAAACCAAGTCTGTCTCATTGTAATTATAAAACAGCTGCAGTTAAAGTCCCTTTAAAATACTTTTCTGCTTTGTTAAACAACTGGAGGGCTAATGAGGAATGAATATCTGTTCATTTTGAAATGTGTAGACTTTAAGCTTCTAATAGGACATGCCCTTTAAAAGCTCTTTCCTGTCTGCTGAACAAAATATTTAGTTTCTTTTGAGTTTGGAGATGAAACGGGGAGTAATATTTGTTGAGTGTGTAAATATCAAACTTTGATCATGAACCTCTATTAAAAGAAAATGTACATAATGTTGGTAAAACTTAGGATTTCAGTCTCTTTGAATTTTAGCAATATATTTATGAATACGCCTTAAATGATTTGATAATAAAAGTTGAACAGTTTTTTTGAAAAATATCAAATTTTCAGCTTCGTTTCCCCACCTTTGATCTTTTTTTTTTTTTTGTGCCATTTCCTTTGTGCACCAGGAAGGAGATACTCTGCAGAAACACTTCTAATGTGGAATGTAACGACAACCTCCTTTGTTGATAATTGGATCTGCTGAAGCCATGTTGAAAAATAATGCCAACTCCTTTTAGAAAAGAAAAGTCACTTCAAATAAAGAAGCATTTGTACCTCGTCTGTGTGATTTATTAGACAATGATTAGTGACAGCAAAGCAAATACACACAAAAAATGAATTTATGCAACAGCTAAACACTTCAGATATTTCACGTTTATTTACACACCGTTAAAATATCCTGCATCTGATTGTTAAATACTCAAGATGTCAGGTTCTCTGGATTACATTACTCCTACACTGGAAAAAAGATCTAGAAATAAGTAAAAATTTCTCAAATTAAGTTAATTTACCCTTAATTTAAGTAGGTAAATGAGATGATTTGCCAATTGAATGAGTATATTTACTCTTCAAATAAGGTATTTAGATAAAATGCATTTGAAATAAGACAATGTAATTGTATTTATTTTAAATGTTAATTATCTTGTACCTTCTAAATTCAAGAACAAATGCACTTATTTTATGAAATAATGACTTATCTAGATTTAGATTTTTTCCAGTTTAAAATAAAATGGCTAATCTCTATGTGGAATTAAGTGAAATAGTTTATTTTTGTTTCTCTTGTGATTACATTTTGATGTGTTAAAAATGAGAATAATGCCAGGATTTTGAAGCACACAATGTGAACTTATATTTTTACACTAAGGTGGCTTGGCCGGACCTTGACCTTTGACCTTTTCGTAGTTTTTTCTTCTTTTATACTGTGATTGACTTACTTTTTGATTTATTTAAACCCAATTGGCTATTGGACACACAGCAGAGACTGATCATCCCTGTCTGGGCCGTCCTCGAGTGAGGGTGATGATGTGTTCCAAAAATTCTTACTATTTAGTTTAGAATATTTTGAAGTGTCCTTTCTACTTTCACAAAATGATCAACGCCTACCTTAATTTTGTACTCTGACTTTAACCTTGTGGAGGGATTTGGATTGTATTAGGACCTGTTAAAGGGCCTCTATACTTTCCTATTCTTAAAACTCCATACAACAATAATTTTATTTATTTTTTTAAGGTTGTTTTTTTAATATGTGCTACCTACCTGGGCTAAACAAAAGGAGATGAGCTCTTGAGTGACATGCGTCGTTCAGTGCCTTGCCTTCGACTCCCTAAACCATACCTTTTTCGCTCAATGGACTGAATTAGGTTGAATGTCATCGTGTTACTAGTCCTGCATTTAACCTATAGTGCAGGGGTCACCTACGTTTTTTTAAGGCTTAAAGCTTCTTCATGGATACTGAGTCATAGGAAGAGCTTCCAATACTGACCTATAAATGGAGGAGTCAGCGTTCACCTAAACTTTAAGCATGATAAACATATTTTTGAAGTTCTAATTTTTTTTTTTAGATATTTTCATTCTGAAATCTATAAATGCAAGCATGGTTAAAAAAGAAGAGCATCAGAAATAAATACATTTCTAACTCAGACCAGTGGTGAGTTTTGCCGTTTTCAGGAGACACTGAGGGCACACCATGTGGTCCTGGAGGGCCCCTTGGTGCCAGTGTGCACATCGTAGGTGACTTCTGCTATAGAGCAATAAACTCACTTCTAAAGCAACTTGATCAACATATTTAGCAACTAATGCATTGCTTAGTTTTATGCTGTAACAATATTTCTTTTTTTCCACCATCCCCATGTTTAGGTATTTATTTTGCAACACAGATGGTACACAGATTTACAGCCACCAAAGAGAAAGCCTCTCTAAACAGTGATAAAAACTAATTACAAGGAAATAAAATCTCTTCATTAGATGAGTATTTGCTTGTGTTAACACCCCAATATAGCAGGACGTTTGACAGTTCTGTTGAAAATATGGAAAACAGTAAATGGTATCCTTAGAGGAGCAGCTACTGCTGCCTATCAATCTGTGAGGTGTTGTATCGTTACTTCCATGATATCTGAAAAAGTAGAAATGTCATCTCAAACTTTACAGGAATCAGTATTGAATATTATTTAATGACAGGATTGTTAGAAAATAATTTATGTTATCTTGCTAGAAAGGTTTGGAAGCACAATAATCTCCATCTGATAAGTCTTATTATTTGGAATCAGACTATGATCCCCTGAGCTATGCATGTTGGAATGATAAACTTAGGTCCTTTTGAAGCCTCGTCTTCGCTTCATTGCTTTAAATTTCTCATTTATTAGTCTGTCTAAATAAAAACAATCCAGAAATAAGCAAAAAACTCTTAAATTAAGTGTATTTACCCTTAATTTGAGTAGGTAAATTAGATAGTTCCTCAATGGACTGA